AAAAACCCCCAACCAAACAAAAAGAAAGCGAAAACGTTGGAAAAAATGCAAAAACTAGCAATTGCATTTATAAACAAATAGATCCCTGTACTTTTCTTGTTATTAATGTGCCCTTACAATTGTCCTGCATTAATGACAGTAATCTTTTTTAATATTGTTCCTAAACCAGAGTAAGGTGTGGGCGAAGCTATAGCCAGAAATAAATAAGACCACTTTGTTCATATTACTCTAGCTCAGACAAGCCAATGTTCCACAAGGAAAATTTATGATTCCTTTTTGTGAAATATTTTTAACTGAACCGCACACTCAAAATTTTGAAAAGTGAGTGCCAGAACTTATAACATCAACTCAACCATTTAGGTCAAATGTAAACCTCCATTAGCTTTTAAAAAAAAATGAGAAACCCTGTGATCCGTGTATCTACGTTGCAGATGAAGCTAAGATAAGCAGCTAGACCAACCCATCAAAGATGGGAAGTTGAAGAAACCAAGAGATATGAAGGATGTGTTAGAGATGCCCAGAATACAACCTATCAGAAAGGTGTTTATGTGGTAACACCATTAATTGCTTTTATTAACCAAGGCCACAAAATTGATAGGTCAAAAAGTTAAAAAGAATGAGGTAAACTCGACAAAGAAGAGATTTAGGCCAATTTTCAAAGAGAGATAATACTGAGGGTGCTGACTTGTCAAAGAAAATATTGAGTGCCCAGGAGAAGTAATGACAAATCACTAAAAAGGTCACTATATTCGACCATAATTTTCAATTGAACGTGATTGAGTAGGATTTAGTAAGTTAACAAAGCGCCAACATGCTGGTCAAAGTGAAATTGACCTACCTAACCACATATGACTAGCTTCAAGATTTATGCGTCAAATATCAACTTTTGCTTCCTATTAAAGAAATACCAGTCCAAAGTTGCTACTATTTTCTTACAACTATTTTTTTTTATTACCGTGGTGTCCGGGCCAGCTTGCACTTTCTTACAACTATCAACATGTTTTATCGGTCCTAAACAGATTAGACTTATATGTACTCCCTCTGTTTCATTAATTTATTTTTCTTTTTTTTTTGGTCTTAGTTCGACAGATCACGAAGTTTTAAAATGTAAAAAAGACTTTTGAATCTTGTCATCTCACACTAAAGGTATGTATAAGATACCAAAATTACCCTTTAAATATTGTGGTCTTAAACATGCCAAGCCATTCCGGATAAACTTGCTAAATATAGAAAGACATTCTTATTGAAACACACCAAAAATGGAAGTAAGACACACAAATTGAAAGGGAGGGAGTAATATAGAAGATTGCATAAATGTACTCCACATCGAGAAATGTAACTATATACATCGAAGGTGTGAATTTACATTTGTCTTCATGTTTTTCCTAAATCTCTTCTCCTTATTTCTCTTTTATCTCACACGGTATCAAAGTTATTGTGAAATTAATCCGTGTATTTATCAGTGATGTATAGGAGAAGAATTTTCAGCGCCTGTGCATTTTTCAGCTATTGTTGCGTCTATTGGAGATTTTATTGCTTTCCATGGGTGCTGTGCATAAATCAGTGAGTACCAATCAACTCAAAATTCTAATGTGAACCAAGTCCAAAAAGCCAAGCCACAATAGGAGTTCCCACGTGCCTATATAGTCCACCAGCAGTCATTTTTCAGCACCACGTCGTTTCATAGGCCTATATGGAAGTTGTTCACGATCTTTTGACATCGCTTCAGTACATTTGGGTCGATTGGTCCTTCTCATCGGATCCATCTTGATCCAAAGAGATCTGACCTCAAAAACTCCAAGTATTGACAACTCCATCTACTCTGAAGAAGACTTTCTACTATTCTAGCCATTTTTCTAAAACTTCTAGGCTGCCTAAAGGTCGATTAAATTTGTGACCTTTCCTTCAACAGAGCAACTTTTATACATTTGATTCATATACTTCGATGTATCTGAATGGTTGCATAGATCTGCTTCAAGAAAAGGATTACTCTACGAGAATTTGGACAAGTAAGTCGTGAGTACATAGATGCAAATTGGACAATGTCACACAAGTGGTAAACAATCTACCTCCGGATATTGCCTTCTCGTCAGAGGCAATTCAGAAAAGCAAGAAACAAAATATAGAGATAGTTGCATGATACAAAATTACAGTGCGGAAGTAATAGCAAATAACTCTTGGCAAGGCAAAAAGGAAATAAAAAACGGAAAAGGGTCAAAAATATCCCTCTACAATTGAAAATTGTTTAAAATTACCCTCTGTTATACTATTCGATTAAAAATAACCCTACCATCTAACTATTAAACAAATATGCCCTTACTTTACCAGAAGTGCCACGTGGAGGGCTTCTAAGCCTTTTTAATCCCCAACCCAAAATAATTGAATCCGACCCATTACTCAACATCCAAAACCCGTAACCCGTAAAATTTAAGGCCCCTTGAGTTAAAAATCAGAGACCCTCAACGCAAATAGTTCAGTTCTGTTTCATCAGTCAAGAAATTTTTTTGTAGATGTTGAGGAGCGATTGTTGAAATAACAGCACAAAGAGGAAAAAAGGAAACGTCTACGTCGAGAAAAGAAGAAAGAGAAGAAGGTTTGTAGTTGTGAAGCTTACTTTTGGATGTCAGATTTGGTAAACCTGGGACTGATTTGGTTGACTTTGGTACGGATACTATGAGGCAGACTTTGGTCATACACTTAACTTTCTATACCTCCCCATTTCTCCCTGCCCAACAGCGTTTTCTCTAACAAAATTTCCTTTGATGGTTACTTTGGTATTTGTATTGATACCCTGAAAGAGAAGGCTGCAGAGGAGGAACCTGAAATAGACCCTGATGTTGCAACTATGATGGGATTCGGTGGTTTCGGAACTTCAAAAAAAAGTGATCGCTTTGACCATCAATCTCTCGCGAGAATAGCTTGGTCTGGAGTAATCTGCCAGAGGCCTTTATTTTAGCTTGAAATGGTCTAAATGTAAGAGAAACTCCATTTTAGGTAGTAGCCAGGCGATTGAGGTTTGTTAAACTAGCCTCCCGAGTTTTCTCAATGAATGATTGAAACCAATTGTTTGGAGAATATATGTGTTCTCTCTTATTGTTCAATACTTATTGAAGTGACCCAAATTTTTCACCATCATTCTTATCCGTAATGCAAATGATTTTTACATGGTTAAACAATATTTTTATTTTGGGTTAAAAACTAGGATGAAGAATATGTAAGAAGGTTTAGAAAATTCTTGACATGAACGTAAAATACTGTGGTTCAATTTTTTGAAAAGAGAAATGAAATAGGGGCCTTAAATTTTACGGGTTACGGGTTACGGGTTTTGGGTGTTGAGTAATGGGTCAGATTCAATTAATTTTGGCTGGGGATTAAAAAGGCTTAGAAGCCCTCCACGTGGCTCTTCCGTTAAACCAAGGGCATATTTGTTTAATAGTTAGACGGCAAGGTTATTTTTGATCGAATAGTATAACGAAGGGTAATTTTAAATGATTTTCAATAGTAGAGGGATATTTTTTACCCTTTTCCGAATAAAAAATGAAATGACTAGTGTGTCAAGTGAGACCTTAACGTTAAAGAAACTTAGACTACAATGGATTTTCATTGATTACCCATGTATGTGAGTGCATTCAAGGACATACAGGAGAAAGCAAACTAATAGCACCGACCAATGCAACATTTCAGATACAGGAATCAAAATGAATCAAGAAAAAAGAGCCTAAAACCCTAAGCTTGCCTACTAATCAGCTCACATATCCTCTACCCGCATCTTTCAAACATATGAACTATACGCTCTATGTAACTGCGGGTTGACTTTAATGTGCGAAGTTCCAGAAAATCAATTAACTCTACGGAAAGCCAGACTGCAGACGCATTGTTGGAAAGGAACATTCCCAAAGTTCATGACCCAGTCACAATCACAAATAGCAAGAAAGTTTGAAATAAGCATAGGTTACATAACACTTAAGTTATAAAGATTTCACGGTTTAGCCCCTAAAGGCAAGAAAAAAGCATGAAGAAAGATGCTGGGAACTACGAGGATCTTGTAACAGAACAGTGATGTAACTGCCAACAACCCATAGCTTGCATTAAAAAATGCAAACATGATGGGGTTATGCACTCATGAATAGCATCTTTCGTGGACAATTTTACTCAAAATGGGACCTGGAAAAACATAGTAGTAACAGATTATCTGTGATCTCTTATGGATGATTCAATGCTCTAGCTTCAAGTATGATCCAACTGATCTAAAAAGAACAGGATATTCTGGATTGGTTCAATTTCACCACTTTTAAGGACATACAACAAGTTGGTTTCTGAATTACGCTAAAAGATCCCCTTTAACTACCCAATTCAAACAGATTACTGTACTAGTTCTTCAGCATTCGTTTCATCTCAGGACATTTACAGCTTTCAAACCGAGAAATATATTCATTTGCTGAACTTTGTAATAACCTGTTTAACTCTAGACAGACATAAATTCCAACATTCTAAAGAACAGCTGAATCAATAATGATAAAGCCAGGAGAAATGCAAAAAAGTGCAGTAAATATCTGAAATTTCACCTGTCGAAGTAGGATGCCTGGCAGGACGTTTAGCTCTTTCAATCTGCAACTGAGTTTCCATGAACATATTCATCCGCTGAACCTCCAGCTCCTTGGTGAATTCCATCCTCTGCTTCTCCAACTCCACCATCTGCTGCTGCTTTGTGCTCTCAATTCTCTCATATATTTCCCCAAACCTCAATATTGCCCGCGCCAATTCCTTGTACGCTGTAGTTTCCTCCGCTAACCCTACGTACTCCATTTTATTCTTCCTCCCTCCACTCCCAAACGGCAAATCATCGTGCGAGCTGTTATTTGAACCACTTGAATTTATCCTCGATGAACTGCCGGAATAATTCACGGCACCAAAGTTAGGGTTAGGGTTAGAGTTTGACTTAACGGTAAGTGTAATTGCGGCAGTCAATATTCTATTACACGGCGAGGTAGAAACGTTATTGGTACCGATGAGATAGTCGAGACGGTTATAAAACGGCCATTTAGACGGAGATGACTTGGTTTTCTCAAGCTTGTACTTCTTCTTCAAAGTATCGATCCGGTTCTTACACTGTACATCGGTGCGCTGAGGCTTAACGCCGTTTTGACGGGAGTTAACGGTGTCAGCGACTTCCTTCCAGTCCTTCTGCCGGAGATTGCCGCGATTAAGCCTGATGTAACGATCGCCCCAAGCTTCGATTAGGGTTTCAGTGGCACCTTCACTCCAGCAGTCTTCACGTCCACCGGCGTGAGGCCTAGTGGGGGCAGCGGTTTGGCACTCCATTGGAAACCGGTTCGGCTCCGGTTCGGGCGGATCGGTTCTGGAGAGAAAGAAGGGAAGATGCTAAGGTGTGCCGGAGGTGAAGGGGAGAAACAGTCGGGGGGGGGGGGGGGGGAAAGGGGGATAAGGAATAGGAAAGGAAAGTTGGCCGTACATCTGACCGGAAGAGGGGGGACGTCAGCAGTTGCCTATTGGATGATTGGACGGAGTGGGCTATGCCTACGCTTGTCTACGATTTCTCCCAATTTTACCCCGTCACTTCCCATTTCCTCGCTGCGTTTTCCTTTTTTATTTTTTTACGTGCAGTGAACTGGCAACAGGCTTTGCTCTTATAGCGTGTTTGCCTCTTAGGTTAAAAGCATTTCTTTTTTCAAAGCTAAATGTTTGCCCAAGTTTTTATATATATTAGTATTCGTACCCGTACGCTTGCGCAGAGAATAATAAATATAATTTTGTATAAGAATATATATGTTGTAAAAGACGATAGATATAAAGGATCGTGAAAATTCTATTATTTTTTGGAACATGTAAATATAATGGATATTCGTATAATACGTTAGTAAGAAAACACAATAAAAAACGTGCAGTTATTTCCTAAAGTCCAATAATGTTCTCTACAGCCTCAATAAAGCAAATCATGAATACCAGCTAGATTGCCATAAACAAAGGTTTCTAATGCCTTAAAAATTCAGAAAAACAGCAAAGCCATAGTATTTCAAGATAGATATATCAGGCTTCATAACATACGGGGAAATTACTCCCCACTTGCACAACCTTGACATCCACAATATACACTCTATTACAGCAACTTCCCTAAGGTGCTTGGGGACACGACATGCACAAGTAGTTGCAAAAAGAACTCATAAATACTATCTTGCATGATTAAACACGATGGTGAAAGAATTGCACGTAGTGATCCAATCTCTGCTAAATCCAATTCTAGAGCTGCTTCGAACTGAACATCTTTTCAAGATGATTCTAGGCCAGAACATCTACCGTAGAAACATGAAAGAAATGTTTGAGAATGTGCTCCCGTATCAGCTTCCTCTACTACAAAGCATCATCTACATTGTGCATTCAGTACTGCACTTCCGCACTTAGTCCGTGCGAATGCCAGAAAGATCCATAAGACAAAAATGGGCTCCTATGATGTGCAATATTGGATATTGGCCAGAATGTTTCACACTTTCTTTTATCATCATTAAGGTATTGCCAGCTTTCAAAACCCAGAAAACAGAAGTCAAGGTCTGGAAATTCCAATCAACAAAATAAGACAAAAAAGATTACTCGATTCTACCATGCATCAAATTACTAACCTTCTTTCATATAAGCATCCAGCTCATATAGGGTAGGCTCAATCAACTACCAACCCTCAGGGTATTTTATATGATTTGTCTTGACACACTTGTAATTTTTGCAGGACCTTTCATCTGAACAAAGAAAATCCAAAAAGATGTCAATGAAGGATAACAACCTCACATATGAAAGTTCGTCAAGTAGATGTTCGTCATCCTATAGTGTGCAAGCCATTTCTTCAAATAGTGTAGTTAGGGGAACAAAGACAGATGATTGACATTTGAAATTGAGTAGGAATCAGGTTATTACATTTTTATTATTTCTCCTCTGGTTTACTTCATCTATTTTATCAAAAGGTTTAAAATAAATAGAGAGGACGTTGTTGTTGGTGCAATGGGTTCTAAATTTAGATACTTCTCTTTCTATTTCCCTAAAAGTTCTAAGGGGGTTGTGACCAGGGGCGGACATAGATGGATCCAAGCAGTGTCACGGGACACCGCTTCGTCGGAATTTTTTACTGTTGATATATATAAAAATAATAAGCAAAATAGAAATACAAGATAAAATCATTAAAAGTGACACCACTTGCAATAAAATAGCTTGATAGTCTAGTGGTTGGCAACTTCAAGTTTGATGTAAGAGGTCTTGGGTTCGAACTCCCTTTGCTCCATAATATATCTATTGATTGTTATGGGTCTCTTACTAAAAATAGTGACACTGCTTATAAAATATCCTGTGTACGCCACTGGTTGTGACAGGGAGGCTAGAGCTGTTTCTGGAAAAAAAATATTGAATGCAAGGGAAATCTAGCTCTCCTGCCCATGAAAGTACTGGTATTACATAATGCCAGAAAATTCATCATCATTCATCGCCTTGCATACCTTATCTTTACACCTCTAAGATGTTGTATCCTTTCCGAGTGTGAATATGATTAAATTCTGAATTTTGGTGAAATAAGCAGGTTTATTCGACTGGGTATGTCTTTGAATTAAGAGCTCTCGTCAAGACTTGTCAAGTTCTCTGGAATTTTCAGTTAACCGCATACTTTAAGGCAACAATGCACTATAGAAGTATAAAATATGTTTTCCGTTATGATCATTATGAAATATATTTTGTCATACTTCTCATACACTTCCAACTTTTATCATAAAAAAATAATATATTTATAGATAATGAAAAAGCAAGTCAGGTAACACCTTTATAAGAATGGCATTAAAGAAACATACTTTGGATACAACAACATAATCCCCATATGAACCAAATGACACTGTGAAAGTTCATATTATAATGCCCACATCAGCCGTGCCAATTCCCAAGATTTTACAAACACCCATTCTATTTTTCCATTAGCTCCGATGTTGTGAGCCTCATCCGAATAAACATATGCGTAGGATGAGAAAAATACATCAGAAACAAAGACATGAGAAAGTTAAACCAAATAGAGTCTCGTAAGGCCTAGGAAAAGAAAATTAGTGTCTCAAATAAAAGAGAGCTTGTTATAATATTGAGGCAACTATTGTCATGCCAATGAAGAAGCAGAAGCTAGCTCTTAGAGCAATTATCAATTACTAAAATTATAGTAATACCGTGTAGTACCTTGTATTTATCGCAAATAGCAACAATCTCTGGAAGCTGGCATAGCTACCCTTCCAATCTGTACATGCCCTCCAAATTAACAGTTATGTTCTTCCATGGTGTGTGTTTCTGAATTATTCCTCAGAGATATGTTTTCTCAAAACCTTCTCCAAGTGAGAAAGTCATAAAGAAGTTAGGGCCAAGCAAAACATTAATACGAACTAAGATGACTGTTTAAATATGTTATGACTAAAAGGACATAACCCAAGTTTCAAAAACATACTATTATGTTGAAAAACCCGAATAGTAGCTCCAGACCCTCAAGCAAAATTTACAATACAGTTGTGGTTGGGAGAATCACTGATAATCAAACCTCCCTGTAAATGACCAAATTAAAATAAAAAATATAATCACAAATAAAACATAAGAATAACCTTTATAAATTTTTTGTACCTTTCCGATCAAAACAGAAAGCATGGCTTAATTTGTTATATAACGCATGCATGTAATAGAAGTGTTAATATGCTAAAAGTTTGACTTAAGGTCTACTTGAGAACCCATCAAAATAGAAGTTTTTTTTGTGCACTTTAGTGGAAGAACGAAGTGGTTGTTATATTCAGATATGGTCATTATGTGTTTATAAACTATTGTTCATTTTGTTTTAACTCTTTCCTCTCTTTCTTGGTTTTTCTAAAATATTTTTCACGCTTGTTGTATAGTTAACCACTAAACTCATTAAAAAAAAAGATTATTATCCTCCAAATCTCTTGTCAAACTCCTTGTCTCAACATCTACGACTACTGATCACGCCCAACTATGCCTTATAAAAAGGACACGCGAACGTTGCAAATATAATCTGAGTATTTAGCCCAGAGTCGAACCCACAAGAAATTAACCTATCAATTACTTTCGTTAGACTTACTAAATTCCACGGAATCAACTTCCCAAACGTTGTGAATAACAATTGAATATGTTTCTACTAACTAAGAATGAATGTAAATAAACAGCTGTAAACTAACTATGATTAAGATGTAAACAATTAAGAGAAGGATCTAAGGTTATGATTCCCCTATTGATAGAATCCCTTCCGGTTATGTGTCATATAGAATTGCCTAATCATCTCTATCAATCATGAGCACTATTATCACCATAAATCTCTCCCGAGTAATCACGATAATTTACTAGACGCTCTCTCCCGAGTTACGCTAGCTGACTTTATTCATTACAGCTACTTTAGATTGCACCCAAGGCTTTGTTATCCCTAATCCTGCCTTTAAACCCGCAGTTATTGATCCCTCATATACTTTAGGAGTGGTGTTGTTCAACAATTGACCTAAATATACACTCTCTCCCGAGTTATGCACACTAAATAGGCACAACTAATTAGGGTTCCTGTCAATTAACTACAACAAGCACATAGTTGAATAAATAGAGATTAACCCGGCAAACTATATTAACATAACAAGAAGTTCATCCTTCAATAGGTTCCATCAAAACCTTAGACTAGGAAATTAGATACTCATGACAAAACAAGATAAAACTACTAAATTATTCATAATGGGCAATTGAAATATAATAAAGAGAGGATAGAAGAACTCTAATGTTTTGTTATTCTTCTCACACTTGTTCTTGCCTCCAACGAATTCTAAAAACATGCTTAAAATAATCTTGGGCGAGTTCATAAAGCTTATACGGGTTTGGTACAAGTTTTCCCGAATTTACACTTTGGTCCTAAATTCCTGGCGAGTGAACAGTGCACCGCGATCGCGGCAAGACCGCGGCTCGATCGCGGCAAGACCGCGGCTCGACCGCGGTGAGCGCCGAGTATTCTGCCGCAATGACTTGATCCGCCGCGGTTCTCCCGCGGTTCCACCGCGATCGCGGTGGAATTTGCTCAGTCCATTTTCTTGCTTCTTTGTGCTCGGGTACTTCTTGAGTGGGCGTTTTCTTCATATTATTGCCTCCAAAATACTCCGTGGTGCTTCCTTACTTAGAATATTCCCTGTGAAATAAAAGAACACCATTTAGAGCATTTTGTTGGCAATTTGCCTATAAAACAACAATAAAGCATGGTAATATTAAGGTGTAAATATCATCTATATAGCCGAATATCAACACCCCACACTTAAATCATTGCTTGTCCTCTAGCAATCCGCCACACTCTATCAAAGATCCTTCCCTAAGCTTTTCCCTTAACGAATCACACCTTGAATAATTTACCAAAGTTGCACCTAGTAGTGAACAGCCTTTGCCTCAACAATCGAATCTCTCGTACCACACAATATTCGCACTTACACAAACTACTCTATACAAGAGTCAAGACTTACCTTTCCTTTGTGAATCAAGTGCCCTCACAAGCAAAAGAGAGTAGTTCCACACCATAAACTTTAAGAACACTTAGGAACTCAAGATAGAAAGAATTCACTCACT